GGATCTTTGCCAGTTTTATTCAATGTCAGAATAGTTTATCTATTTTCCAAAGAATCAAGGAGTATTTTTTTACAACATTCTTTGTTATTGGGAGGAAAATCTCGAGTTTTACCGCATTTTGATATTTGCCATACTGTGACAGAATATCATTTTTATTCAGTGAATAAATTACAGTATTTCACTGTTAAAACGTAACTAGAACTGTCCAAACGGGACAAAATACCCCCCACTGGGTTTTTTCAGAAGTAAGTTTTCCCATTATAAAGATATGTATCACACATGAATTATGAAATTTTTCTTCCAGTGATCTTGAACTTCCCCAAATGACCTTGGGTAAAGGTCATGACACACCCTTGGGTCATGCGCAATCTTTGTGTGAAATGAGAACCTACCAAGTTTATCAATAAGAAAGATATGGACCGGACATGAATTATGAACTTTTTTTTCCAGTGACCTTGAACTTCCCCAAATGACCTTGGGTCAAGGTCATGACAAACCCTTGGGTCATGGGCAATCTTTGTGTAGAATGAGAACCTACCAAGTTTATCCATAAAAAAGATGTAGACCGGACACGAATTATGAACTTTTTCTTCCAGTGACCTTGAACTTCCCCAAATGACCTTGGGTCAAGGTCATGACACACCCTTGGGTCATGGGCAATCTTTGTGTGAAATGAGAACCTACCAAATTTATCCATAAGAAAGATATGGACCAGACAAATTATGAAAATTTTCTTCCAGTGACCTTGAACTTCCCCAAATGACCTTGGGTCATGGTCATGACACACCCTTAGGTCATGGGCAATCTTTGCGTGAAATGAGAACCTACCAAGTTTATCCATAAGAAAGATATGGAACTTCCTTTTTCTTCTAGTGACCTTGAACTTCCTCAAGTGACCTTGGGTCAAGGTCATGACACACCCTTGGGTCATGGGCAATCTTTGCATGAAATGAGAACCTACTAAGTTTATCCATAAAAAAGATGTAGACCAGACACGAATTATAAAATTTTTCTTCCAGTGACCTTGAACTTCCATAAATGACCTTGGGTCAAGGTCATGACACACCCTTGGGTCATGGGCAATCTTTGTGTGAAATGAGAACCTAACAAATTTATCCATAAGAAAGATATGGACCGGACACGAATAATGAACTTTTTCTTCCAGTGACCTTGAACTTCCCAAAATGACCTTGGGTCAAGGTCATGACACACCCTTAGGTCATGGGCAATCTTTGTGTGGAGTGGTAGATTCTAATGTCCTTCCGTAAGAAAGATATGGACCAGACACGTTTGCACAGACAGACTGATGGACGGACAGACGGACAAAGTGATTCCTATACCCCCCCCCAACTTCATTTGCGGGGGATATAATAAAATGATTTTTACTTTATATCATTTATAGTGAAATATCAGAAGAGGTACAATATCATCTGAACAAAGAATGTCATGTATCAAGTTGACAACCAATTTAGATCTAATACTGTGGGTCACAGTAATTTATTTGGCTCATATTCATACAAAGCCTGTGTTGATCAACTGTCATAAACAGCGTTTACAGATAATGACACTTATCATACATTTCATTTCGATAGATTTTTCAAAACAATACAGAAAACACACCAATAGGGGGCCTACACATGACACAGTGTACGAAATCATAACATAACGTGTCATTTCTATAAGTTTCTTCAGCAAAGTATGAATAAAATACTTTCAACAAAGAAAAATCAAACTCTTCACGATAGCAATCTACGTATCAATATAACTGAAGTGGTCCACAATGATGACAATGTTTGAGGTCTTGTCAAATGTCGCGCGTCTAAGGAGCCTTTGTTTACATGTGAAATATTCAGGCCCTACCTTTTATTCTCGCTGGGGCTACGAACAAGAGTCGGTGTGGAGGGAAAAATGTCAGGGACCCCGGGAAAAGGAAGGTTGTCCTCGTCCTCCTCCCTCATCATACAGTCAAGCGAAACTTTGTAAACACACCTGGGGCTAGACGGGAGAGAATGTGAGGTCATCATAAAACCATGTGACCTCGGGTCCACTCGAGTGTAACGGCGGTGTGGCTTAGTGTGAAACATGGAGAATAACCAGAGACGCGAGGTGTGAAGTGACAAGATTATTGATTTTCCCCTGAAGTATCGTAAAAAAAATTACACTCTATTATCATGATGAGAGGGAGACCAAATAAGTGCATGATCCTGTTTTTGAAACTCAAGAAAAATGAAGAATGGATTTATAAAATAAAAACAAATAAACCATTTTAGGGGTTTTTATCAATTTTAAACAATTTTTTTAACACTAATATTTTGGTGAGTTTTGTCCTTTGGTCGTTGAACAAAACTCATATAAACCTAAACTTTTTGGGTCTATGCATGGCTACAGTACATGCAGAGGCTTGAGACTGTTGGAAAGCCGTGCAGTAAAATCAGTCTGGTATATAAAATAAAACATTCTATTCAAGTCCTGAAGTCTTCGACGAAAGTCTCAATCCTATTCATGCCTAAAACGCAACACACTCTTTGAAGCAGATTTTTTTTTTCAATTGTAAAAAGAAGAAATGATTCGTTGAATTTTCTTATGTTTGTTGGTTGTTTAGACATAACAGACTAAATAACTTAGTCGGAGCAGCTTAATTATAACTTGGAAGTTCTTAAATTTGGACTTAACCTTTAAAGGAATATAAAATATTTATAAGTTAACAACTTGTAAACAATCCAATGAAATGTGGAAGTAACAAACAGCAATCAAGCCCAAACGTCCACTGAAACAAAACAGATAGGGAGCAGAGCAAACATGGACCTCTTAGTAAAACGTCAGAGGTGGGATCGGGTGTCATGGAGGTGTAAACATCCCCTGTCAGCCGGTCACATCTACCGTATGTTCCCTGTCATGATGAGGCAAACCGAAAAACCCTAGTGATGAAATATTACAACACCTTTACGCCACAGTTTGTATTCTCAATATTGTTCCCATAGACCTGAATGAAATCTTGTCATCTTATTACTGGACAGGTACGTAAAATTTTACGTTTTGAAAATTTGTCTAGGTAAGTTTTTCACATTATATTCATATCAGATTTAACGAGGATTAGAGAATTAGGGATGAAACAGACACGTAGCTACAGGATGGGGTGGGCTGCCCCCCCCCCCCCCCCACTTTTTTCCCCAACATTACTTATACTATAGGAAATGTTCATTGAAAGGCTGCCCCCACCCCCAACTATTAGTGATATAAGGGAAATGTAGCATAAAAAATGTTTTTTTTTTCGATTTGGGCAACTGTTCTTGTTTCCCTTTATATTTATTTATTTTTATTTTGTTATTATCATTTTTTTTTTTTTTTTTTTGCTTATCAACTTCTTCAAGTAAGTAAAAAAAAAATTCTCTGGCTGGCCCCTCAACTTTCAAAAACGATGCTACGTGGCTGTGAAATACCTTAATTGAATTTTTAGCAGACATACTACAGTCAAAACTCAATATCTTTGAACTCGAAGGACCGAATGCTTGGAGATACTGTGGTTAAAATTCATAAATGAAAGGTGTGTGGGACTACAAACTCGCTTAGAAACGTCCATGGTAAGTTGGTACTCGGAATTTCGATGTTCAAGATGCCGATGTTAAATTGTTTACGTGTAATGAAAGAAAGTTCTACATAGAGTTTCTTTGTTCTGCATCTATTTTATGCATAAAATATAATAATACTAATACAGTATATAACACACCATGAAGCACTTACCTGTAAGTCGCCACTTTTTGGAGCCCACAGCTTTAGCTTGAAATTTCAAATTGTAAAATATGAACCGGTCGATATTAGCTATGCCCAGAAATGTGATTACCCTGGTATATTGCCCTGGTAAATTGACGAATAACATGCACCATCCATTAATTACTGACCTGCCATGTAACCTGTGGAGGTCACACTAATGCATCGTTTGGCCTCGGATATTTAGGATTATACAACACTCCTGTTTGGTGGCTCAACTTTAAATGTATAACTTTTTTTCTCCACCGTAGTGGTTGTACTTTTTATGTTTCAGATTCTGTGTTCATTTGTAACTAAGCATTAAGCCAGCAACAAAACACATCAAACAGCCTTAACATTACTGCTGCCAAATCTCCTGTTTTATCTGAAAGTCGGCAGACTCTTCAAAAAAGAGCAACAATATACAAGAGAGTAGACCCCCTTTTAAAAAATAGCATCATGCTTCATAAATAAACTCATGCCAGACAAGCCCTCTGGCTATATGTAAAAGTATATGCATGCTTTACAGCACTTTTATGCCTCAGAAGTATTCCATTTCTTTCTCTTTTAAAAAAAATATCAAATAACATAGAATTTGGCAAATCTTCCAATATACTGACGACCTTGAACCGAAAAGTAATTTACATTGCCAGATACACGGGATCAAAATGAAAACCCCCAGTGCATTCAATACAGATAAGATCTTAGAGGTATGATTCAGAGTTCGTGAGTCATTGAAGGCACTGATAAAACGTAACATCCAAAATTCTAGAATCTCAAAGTCTTCCCAAAACCATTTCTGTTAAACCACCTTAAGTTGTTAATTATTCATTATATTTGTCTCAACAATTTTTATCAGAAATCCATCATAATATGAATTTAAACCCCGATGTGCGATATGAAGTGGAAGAAAGTTAGACGCATCAGAAAATATCTGCAATATATTTCACTTAAGATATAATTTATGGGATTCAATCATTAATAAGATAGCGAAATACAGATGTTTGAGTTAATATTAGAAAACCCACCATCCTGAATGATTATAATTACCATCTGCAGAGGGTTGGGGAGGTCGTAACAAAAAAAAAAGAAAAAAAAACAATTGTGATACTCATATTGACCTGATACGGGTATTGTATCGTCAGTACTAATGTATGTATGACTACTTCTACCTTTTATACGTACTCACCACGATACGGGTAGTTGCATTCATCGTCAGTACTAATGTACTACTACTACTGCCTTGTACTCACCATGCCTTCCTGTGAGCACCTTTCCGTGGGACGGTGGAAAAGTTCATCCGGTTATACAGGGGTACAGTGACCGAACCTATTGGGTCCTCCCAGTTCGCCTTCCGAGGGTCGCCCATTTTCCCCGGGGCACACACATTTAAGGAGTACTTAATATGGGCACCGTCTTTGGTCATATTATAAAATTTTAAAAGTCATGTGTCGATAGTGAGCACTTCAACATACGAACAGGGAATATAATCACATCCACATGGTCAAGATCTTTTCTCTGTGTTATTTTTGAAGAACAGTCACTTCATCTACAGAGGGGAGAAGATAAACATCAAATGTTTGACCCAGAGAACTCGGCAACAGACAGCACCACACGGACAAAGTAGATTTATTATATATATCAAAATAGCGAGTCTTTAGCACCGCTCTGGAAGATGAAGCCGATTACTGCCTCTCTTGGGGCGAGCTCTTTATCTCTTCCGAAAACAAACCCCGTTCCTGGAATGACGTTTTATCATTTCAATATGCATAGATTGATAACTGCTTAGACATACGACTACACACTGATGATGGAAGTAAAAACTCGGCATTTTCAAAGTAATAGTATATTGTTTATTTGGTTGATTTTCATTTTTCTCGTTCAATTTAATTTAAAAAAAACTTGTTTTGAGAATTACCACACCATATGACACGCAAAGCAATTTAGTGCAATTTGTTGTCGGGAAAATTACATAACCGGGATCGATTTTTTGGATTTTGTATCATTCTCTCGTGTGTATCGATTAACAAGCCTGGAAAAACCATGAAATGAGTTCATTATTTATTTTTCGCTCCTTTGATCAATTTTGTGCAATTTGATGATTTTAACATTTCAGTAATCTTTTTTGTACGGGAAACGAAACCCATAAACTGCGAGTTACGATGTCCAAATACACTAATTATACCCTCTCCGCGTACAGCTATCCGCAGAACAAAGATATAAAGCCCTTGATCACGACTAGAAGCAACACTAATTAGAATAATTGAGTAGCTTTAATTAACAATCACACGTTTCTATTATCCGCGGTAGCTACACCATTAGACACTAAGCACTTTACTGTAGAATCATAATCAAATTTACACTGCCTATAGCTGAAACAGGTTAGCTCGCCCCCGTAAATTTAACCATAAAATATAATTTTAGATATAACATTCTGTTTGTTATTGCATGCACATTTAGGTAATCTCCTATACAACTATTTTTTCTTCACTTGTTATATATATTTTAGAATAAAATATCTTTAAAAGAAAACCTGACCTGTTCAACCAGAAGAAAAATTTCCATGATGGGAGGGTTATGCACGCTTTGTGTATTGAGGGGAATGAAATATTGCTCCCAGCCCAGTCTCAGATCAGAGTGGAGCCATCTGTGTGCCATAGATTCGACGATTTTAGAGATATGTACATCATGCTTGGTCGTGTTTACGAAATTTACAGCTATAAAAGATTGTTTCGAAATGATAATTTTTGTTAAAGAATTCAAATTCCGAGAGGAGTTGAAAAGACAACAATGAAATGAAATTACAGTGTAACTTTGGAACGGGTCATAATAAATTCCTCAGAGATGCATTGTAATCAATGAGTTATAGCAAATTGCGGGAGAAAGGGGGGGGGGTGGTTTACCGTGTCAATGTGAATGTCTATCTCCATCAAGTTAATTTGCACCAAATAACATGTTTTTTCCATTTGTAACTATGTTTAAGATGACAAAAATTCAACAAATTATGAATATTTTTCAAAGCATATTTTAAAATATGACAACTTCTAAACTTTGCCATGTGATATCCAACATATGCATGTCACGATCAAAACCAAACAAGCTAATTCAGAGAATTCGTGTCCCCCGCTTAGGGAAAAAGTCGGCTCCCCCTGACTGAATTTGTAGAATTATTAAATGTATACATGTATACTGAAGCAAATAAAATACATGTATGTCAATATGCATATAAAGATTTGATTGCTTATTCTTTATTATGTGTATAGAATTTTTTTTAATATGGAATGTTTATCACACTGTAATGATGATTTTATAACCTCATAAATTTTTCATTTCACATGCTGAATACTATCATTTAGTAAAAAAAAAAAAGTATTTAAAAAAAAAAAAGAAAGAAAGGATCGGGGGGGTTACCGTGTCAATGTGAATGTCTATCTCCATATATGCAAATTAATTTGCACCAAATATATATTCATGTTATTTTTTTACCATTTGTAATATGTTAATTAAACAGTGACAAAAAATAACTCTCCTCATGCTGCACTGAAAAATAGCAATGTAATACTATAAATACAAATTATGAATATTTTTCAAAGCATATTTTAAAATATGACAACTTTTTGACCTCAAACTTTGCCATGTGATTTCATCCAACATATGCATGTCACGAATTTGCAATGAACCAAAAAATCAATAGGGGTCTTGTTTATCCATTACCATGAAGATGCTAAATGTGTTTCAAATTTAAGACGTTTGAGGGTTTTCCCTTTTTCTGTCATCTCAAGGTGATCTGCTCCCGAGATGAAAATTAATCCTTCATGGTCCTAATAGGACGGGATTCTGAACGTTATGACAGATGTAACTTCCAAAACTTACACTGCCAACATGACCAACTTCGTCAGTTATGCAGGTAAAACGGGCTTCAATGTTACTCTTAAGCAGAATCATCCACGCATAACATGTCGATAAGATGTAGCATCAAGAAGCATGCACAGAGAAAAGATCATAAAATGCATCATATGTTTAAATCAAACAGTCACTGGAGCATGAAATATAGGTCAAATGGATACATGGACTCTTTACATACAGACAGACGGTCACCATCATTCCGGTAAACACCCACAACGTCTTTGCCTGGTTTTACTTACATTTTAATCAAACCAAGCTTTTATATTTGAATGCTTATATATCTTCACAATACTACAAAGGAACCCTCTGCCGTATTACTGGTCTGGATTGACATCCAGAATTCTATTTATAAAACAGTTTCAAAATTTTCCAATCTTCAACTCACCTCAGAATCGATACAATTTGCGAATTGTCCGGATACTGCAGTTCCGACATTTTCAAGCTTTGCGTCAATATTTTTTTTAAAAAGAGAAACAAGATTTTGTTGGAGGTATTCTATGGTTGTTTTTGTGCCTATACGGTTTGTTTACTCCACTGCAATGTGACAGGGTTTGACCTGATATCATACTGTATTAACTTCCTTGTTTCTGCAAGTCACGATTTTAATCACTTTTTATCTACTGCTAGTATGATATCATACCCACTCAGCTATGATTTCCTTTCCCGTGTTTCCCGGACAACTGTCCTTATGTTTCCATACAAGTTTCATGTAAATTAGAAATAGATAAACATTATACTTGCTTAAAAAGGCATCGGATATATTTTCAGTTCCCTCCGTCAGTTAAAAACATTATTTAAGTGTAATTACGGATTCTCTTGCTTATGAATTTAATTTTATTTCTCCGGATAAATATACAGTGTTTGCATCGCCGTCCATCCATCTGTCTGTTTGTCCGTAAAAAAACTTTAAACTTGCTCACAACTTTTGATTGGTTAGAGGTATGACTTAAATATTTCACCTGTGTGTTTCTTGTGACAAGACCAAACTTTGGGTATACCAGTGCATTGATTTAACCTTGGAGTTTGACCCTCTTTTGCAAAAACTTACCACAGCTTAACCTTGATTACAACTTTTGAGTAGTTGTAAGATAGCTTTCGTACTCCATAGGCATATGTATATTCATTGCATATGGGAAGACTTTTCTTTCGGTGTAAATAATTTGACCTTGACCGTAGAAATGACCACATTAAAAAGTTATATAAACGTTATTCATATATCTTTAGAAATACCTGCATTTTGACGTTATGAACTTGACCTTAGAGTTTGCCCTCTTTTGAAAAAAAATATATATTTTGCATGCAGATCTATATTTCTTGTTACTAGACCCATCTCCGGTTACCATTAATTTTGATCTTGACCTTGGAGTTTGATCTCTTTAACCATGGTACAGTGTAATATTTTTTGAACAGTTGTTGGTCCCGAGCTTTCATATTTCACCGGTATACATGTAAATTCATTGGAACCATTTTTTTTGGGGGGGAGGGGGTGTTAATTAGCCTTCAGCCATAATATCGCCAGTTCGAATTTTAGAAAAAACAAGTATTTGAAACAGAAATCCTTCTCTTAGGAAATTGAAGTTCAAGATGGTGTGCTCAACTTGTTTGCAGAATCTCCAGTTTTACTTTAAAATTATTTTAGTTTATCTTTATAGCATAATTAAACATCTAATTTGCTGTGATTTTTTAAATATAATTATTGTTTATATTGTTAGTTTTAACTTTGTTTGTTTAAGGTTCAAATTTGTTTGTTTAAGGTTAAATTCTCTTAGGAACGTAATTCGTTACAATCATGAATGGGTTAATTTTTTTCGGAATTTTTGCTTCCCAACTTTCCTTTTCTTTCTTTAACAAATCAATCATGGCGTCCGGAGTGGCTGTGAAGACTGGGAAAAAGAAATCAAAGGGTAAATATGTTATTAATACTGAGTTTAAAGCTGTAATGTATGTTTAATACGTTGTTTTTTCTAATATTTCATTGAAGATCATTGTAACGGAGGTCGTTTACTATCATTCAAACTGTTAACCAATAAAAAGATGTAATAAAGCAGAGGAAATTCGAATATGGTACATCAAGTTCGTTTAATGCTTTACATGTAGGCTTGCTGAAGGCCCTTCTACGTTAAAACTTAAATGAAACCTTAACATTTTACAATGATCGCAGGAGGGAGAGAATAAACACAATTTAAATGCTGTGTACAGGTTTATTGTTTATGGATATTATTCATTATTTTTCAAATGTCTTCGCTAAGACTCAACCAATTTATCTGAAACTTTCAGATTATGTTTCTTGAAGGTTCTTTTGTATTGCCATAATCTACGCAATATTTCGGATTTTCTAGGCGATTGTTCATTTCCAAGTTGGTAAAATGGGTAGGCAAAATCAACACGACATTTTACGGTATTTTGGAATTACAACTCATTAAACCATCGCAATTGTGGGTTTTTCCGATATTTCCCACTTTATATTAATTAAGTATAATTAGTTTTACATTATAAAAGCTATAGGTATGCAGAATTTATGCATTTTCAGAAAAACCGGGTCATTAAATCCGGATCCGATCACCCGGGGCAAACTAGAAAATTCCGAAATAATGAAAGCCAATATTGTTTCTATTGGAGGATGTTTAGCCGTCACTTTTTCAACATTGCCCAGCTCTAACCATATAGAGAGGTCCTTTTTAATTTAATAAATTAAATTATCAATTTAAATTGGGTTTTGGAACTGTTTAGATTAAATTTTAATCTTCAGCAAAATTAAGTAACCTGTACAATTATTCCGGATTTTTCAGGTTTGTCCCTGCAAAATAACATTTTAAAAGCCGTTTTTCTTAAAACATGTAATTGTACGTAAATATTGCAATAAACAATGAAGACATATTAATTTATTGTTCATATATATTCTTAAACACCAGAATTAATCATAACTTTATGGACTTTCTGTTACATATGTCAGAAAACGTACGTTTTGGACTTAGGAAACTGCCTACCCATCTTACCAACCTGAAAATCAATAATCGCCGATTACATCTACAATATTGAGTATTTAGAGGTAATTTTAACAGCGAATGTAAATAGTCATATATAGAACAGAATCTGAAAATTTCAGCTCGATCGATAAAGTATTAAGACAGAAAATTGAAAAATCTCGAACTGGCCCGGCTTTTAAATTGCCCCGGCCCGGGTTTGCCTACCCATTTTACCAACACTCTGCATTGTGTACAGGTGTAAACTTATTGTTTATGGATATTATCAGACTTGTCGAAATTTTTTAATCACTGTCAGATATTTGGTCTGACAAAGTCGAATGTTCTGTCAGACCAGTCAAAATTTTGTCAGACCAGATACTTGTACCTTATTTTGATGCTGAAAAAGTCACATGAGTAACAGCACCAAAAGGTTCTTTATTATTTTCAATAGCCTTCAATCTAACAAGTTTCCTTTCTTGGGATAGAGAGTCTTTAACATAGACATAAATGACAAGTTTTATGACTTTGCTATAACAAATTTACTTAGCTATCGTCAACATGCTGCATACGCAGCCATTTTTTTCTGTGTTTGTGACCCCCATCCCGACCTTTATTAAATTTGCATTATGCTCAATTTTTTTCAAACGGTCATTTGGACCGACGTTTACTTAAATGTTATCGGTTCAGACAAATTTTTACCGGCCTTGCCGACAGGACCGACAGATTTCGACAAGTCTGTATTATTATTCATTATTAGAGATAAGCTAGTCTGTCAGTAATTTGAAAGAT